ACTAGAAAGTCAAATAATAAACCCATGAATTTGCATATATACTTCCCCATCAGTGAGCTGACAAGTTCAGTTATGCAATTACAGGGTCTCTTTGAGTTTGCAAAGAAGGATGAGGCGTGTGATGCCGACGTAGCATGCATATAGAAATAGGTCAGGGACAGGGAGAGGAGGAGAAAGGATAGAGAAAGGGAGAGGAGCAACTACCTCCCCAGAGAAGCAAAGGAACTGTGTGGGATATATGGCCAAAAGCAGCCCAGCCTAGAGCAGTACAGTCTATCCTCACAAGGCATCAGATGGCATTCTAACAGGCAAGGTACAGCAGAAAATCACACTTGGGATATCTCTGGCAGCTGGGTAGCGGATGAGAATGATGACACTTACTATGGGATCGTCCTTGCTGACTTCTGTTCCAGATTAGTCATTCCAAATGGACAACTTTCCCAATGTGAATTCTGCTCCCCTGGGTGAATTTTCTGCAAGCCACTGACAGATTCTGTGTCTATGCAGTCTCTCCCGGAGCTCTTTACCACTCACCAGCCTTTGCATCTGTGACGGAGGCACTATGTGCTTCCCAGACTGGACAGTTGCTGTGTACTGGCAAGGCCTGGATTCCAGCTGTCTTGCTCTTCCCTGGCACCGGATAGTCTTGCTTTCTTGCCTTTGCTTTCAAAAATAAAACAATGTGTGCAATCAGCTATAAGGTTTATGAAACAAAAAAAAAAAAAGCTAAAGGCTGTTTCCATGGAACCCTGGCTCATTGTCAATCACCACTACCCTCCCTCAAGCAATTTTCTTATCTATAATAGAACGAACAAAAATTTGCTAAGGTTCACCTCCAGTTTCCATGCATCTTCTGAAGTACTGTGAGCCATTGTGAGTTCACAGTCTAGAATCATTGACTGGCACCATGAAAACCCCTGGCTGCATGAACAAAGGGGCAAATTTGCCTTTTTGAAATAGTGTCTTTTGAAACAAAGTCGACGATGCCATAGCAATCCTCAGGCAGCAGCACGGCCCCTTAGCACAGAAAACTGTCACCACAGCCACGGTTCTCTCATCATTTCATCTTTAGGGAGTTGATGCAGCTGGAAACATCAGCAAAGCTTCGCAGAAATTTACATAAAACTGAAAGCAGACTTAGCTGTGCTGAGTAATAAAAATCTTACTTCTTGCCAATTAGCAGGCATTGTGCCTGTGAGGGAAAGTTTGCGAGTGTGAGCTCTTTCTTGTGGAGACTCTCCCACCTGGAAGCAGTTCCTCCCTGATGTGTGCACATTTCATAAGCAACTCTGGGTCACTGGTGAGAGCGCAGAGCAAATTCAGACCCTGCAAATTCTGTCTTAATCACTGCATGTGGGACTGCCTAGTTTGTGAATTTGTAAGCTTGCAAATGAATATACAAACGATAATAACTCTCTTATGAAGTGTGCTATCTAAATTTTGGTAATGATTGACATGTACAGAGTAAAAATGTCTAGGTCTGACTAATGAGAAGTAGCTGTAGAGTAGCATGTTTCCAGGCACATATCCCTGAGATTTTTGTCTGTGTTATCCCGGCTTCTCTCTTCACTTTGGCTATTAATTACAAAGAAGCAATGTTTGTTTCATTTTGAATCATAATGTTGATTCACACATGTATTTTTGTTTCCACAAGCTGATGATGGATTTGAGAATCAACCATAAGTTGGACAGGCTGGGAAAGCAGAATGAGTGTGTGAGAGACAGGCTGAGGGCCTGGGCTGCTGTTCCTGGTTCAGCAGAGGTCAGTCATGAACATACTGCCTTAGAAAGCAAGACTCCAGGAACTAATGTGTTGCCCACTTAGGGGCGCTGTGATGCCACAGTGTAGCAGGGAACCCTACAGGTCCCATTGAAAGCGGTGCAAAAGATGGAGTGTGAAGAGAAATGAGGGTGGAGACCAGACCTGGGAAGAGCAGGGGAGGGAGGTCAGAGGTCCTACAACGAGAAGAGAAACTGAAGGTGAGGGGCATTTCTATGACAAGCTAGACATCTAAGACAGGGTAGGCTTCTGGGAGTATATAGGCGAAATTCTAGCTGAGATTCCTAGTAGTAGGCATTTTGGAGACTGAAGAGGACAGCCTCTAACTAGTGAAGGGATGGAAACACCAACCCACACACAAAAACTTTGACCCCAAATTTACCATGCCTACAAGACATACAGGGATAAAGATAGAGCAGAGATTAAAGGAATGTCCAACCAACGCCTGGCCCAACATGAGGCCCAGCCCATAGGAAAGAGTCAACCCCTGACACTATTAAAAATATTCTGCTATGCTCACAGACAGGAGTCTAGCATAACTGCTCTCTGAGAGGCTCCACCCAGCAACAGATCAAAACCTATGCTGAGACTCACGGCCAAACATTGGGCGATGGAAAGGAAGTATTGTGAAAAAGTAGGGGGGAGGATAGAAAGACCTGGAGGTGACAGGAGCTCCACAAAAAGAGCAACCAAGCCAACTACCCAAGGCCTAGAGGGCTTGAGGAAAGTGAAGCACCAACCAAGGACCATGCATGAACTGGACCTAGGCCCCTTACAAAGATGTAGCCTAAGGGCAGCTCAGGCTTTATGTGGCTTGCTTGCTTAGTAAGGAGAGCAGGAGCTATCTCTGACATGGACTCTATTGCCTGCTTTCTGATCACTGCCCCCTGATAGGGATGCTTTGCCAGGCCACAGGGGAAGAGATGCTCTCAGTCCTGATGTGACTTGATGAGCTGGGGTGAGTGAATGGGGGTGTCCTCTTTTTTTGAGGAGTAGGGAAAACGGTATGGGGAAGAGGGAGGGAGAGTGGAACCAGGAGGAGAGGAGGGAGAGAGCTGCGACCAGGATGTTAAGTGAATTAATTAATTCAAAGAAACAACAACAAAAAAGGCTACCCAGCTGCCTGCTCAGATCCAGGGCCCAGCCAATCAGAGACCTTTCAGTCTAGAAAAAGATAAGGAAGTCAATGTCCTAATGTGCACTAAAGAGTGAGCTCCCTGCTTCTTCCTGGGCAGTGGAGGATAATGGCTTCGGGAAGGCAAGGTGGAACTAAGGCCGGACCAGGTGCAGTAGCACACAGAGGTAGTAAGTTGATATGAAAGGAAACATGGTATGATATGGATATAGAAAAATTGGGCTGAGCCTGACAACTTTCAGTTTGGGGGACTACAGACTCAGAGTCCTGCTTCTCAGAATCAAATCTGTCTTGCTATAGGTTGGACTGTACCAGGGTCTTTTGCAGGAAGAGTAATGTCAGAGCCTATCAGGAGACTACAGCTTCAAACCTCCAAATACTTTCCCCAGAAACCCCAGACCCTGAATAAGGTGCTGCTGCCATGGACTGAAAGCTGTTCTGCTGTGTGGACCATTGTCTCCTGTGAGAAGATGAGTCATGGGGACAGCTTGGACATTTTTACCACATTTGTGTGTATGTGTGTCCTAAATCAAGCCAGCCAAAGAGGGCTCCAGCAGGCCCCATGGATCCCAGAGTCCAGCAAACATGACATACTCCCTTGTCTCTGGATACCTCCCTGTGTGCTGGTATTAGGAGACCCTGAGCCAGGGACCATAGTTCAATACTACAACAGAGAAAGAGAGAGGAAATGTCATTCGATTCACAGAACAGCAATGTGGTGACTAGCATTCTGAACTGAATCTGAGCTGCTTGGAGCCAAAGGACTGCATTGTTTCTCTGGGCCAGCAGCATAGCACAGGCCTGCCTGATCATCAGCATTCTGTACAATAGCATTCCTGACCTTGCTCCGGAAGGGACCAGGATGTGGAGGCTGACATTGAACAGATGGGGGATTCACAGCTTGATTGTGACTATAGTATTAGATGAAGTCTCCTCTTTCTGTGTCTGCACCCTTCTGTCTTCAGCTTCATAGATATTGGATGATGCCAGCTGCTGCCCAAGGAGACCATCTCAGAGTAAATAAACGAACAGAACCTGAAACAAAGACTTCCATGTACCAGCAATTGAACTTACATTTAGAACTTTTGGACATTTAGAACCTAATGTCTATTAAGCAAATTGTAAAGTCTTTTTGGATTATAAGCTCTTTGCCCCAAATACAGGTTTTCAAGTTTTCTATATGAAGTAATTCATGACAACGTCCTAAACAAGAAAGCATTACCTATGGAATGTGCCCCAAATAATAAGATCCTAGCACTTTTTTTTTTTTTTCCATCCAGGAATCTGCCATGTCCCCCAGGGCTTTCTCATACCTTCACCTCCAACTTTGTTGCTGATTACAAATTTTACTTATTATTTTCATTCATATCTTTCACTAACATTATTTTATGACAATACTACAAAAGGCATTTCCAAGAAAGTTATTTGGAGGCAACATGTGGTAGGTCAGCAGGTTTTTGCCAAGAGGTGATCTGCTACACTGAGTGTCCGTCGCAGTCTGAGTAGAGGCCAGTCACCAGCACAGCACGATGAGTCTGTGGTATGGTCCCACCCGGAGCACAGGAAACAAGTTGATTGGTTTTAATATACAAAGAAGTCCTGGCTACGGTTAACAGGTATCTGGTCTGTCAGAAATTGACCAGAAACAGCAAATAACTCCTTAAAGGCTGATACGTCTCCCTCTCAGGTTTAACAACTAAAAATGAGAGAGATTCACTGCAGCTAGAGAATGTTAATAAGACCGTGATTAATTCAGTAATGAGAAAGGGATAATGTGAGCTATGTGTGTCAAAAGCCCTAAGGAAATCACAAGAGTGCTCCTTATGAGTCTAGTCCAGTGTATTCATGAGGAATTATACCTCATTGGAAAAATAATGTAATGGGCTCACAGGCTACTTTAAAAAAATGTCAAGAGACATTTGAGTCAATTTGGACGATTGACTTCTCTTCAGCCACTGCCTGGGCATTTGCTTTGGAGACAATTCTCTGGGGAGAGGGGTGTGGCCTCTGGTGGCCAGGCTGAGAACTCAGAGTCCTTTGCTTCAGAGCCTGTTTCCTTTCTGCAATACAGAGATTCCGTGGGCTCTCTGCTTTGCTGAATCCAGGTCATGAACCTCAGTTTACTATGCTGTGCAGCATTTTGTTTCCTGCAGGCAGGTGAGTTCTGTGCATGGCTCAGGGTGGCATTCTAAGGCACTGAAAAACAAAAACAAAAAACCTTTTCCATCATTGTGGAAGCATTCACTGCTGCTCCTTTCCCACAGGTTCGGTGAATGCTGGCATCATTCAGACTCCGAAATCATTGCTCCTAAAGACAGGACAACATGTGATAATGAGATGTACCCAGGATATGAAACATGACTCCATGTTCTGGTACCGACAGGATCCAGGCTTGGGACTCAGGCTAATCTATTACTCATATGACGTTGACGCCATCAGCAAAGGAGATGTCCCTGATGGATACAATGTCTCCAGACCGAGAACAGAGGATTTCCCCCTCACTCTAAAATCAGCCTCTCCCTCCCAAACATCTGTCTACTTCTGTGCCAGCAGTTATACCACAGAGCTGTGTGGCTGCCTCTTCCCTGCACATAAAGATACACGCAGACAAGAGGCACCCAGCCCTGGAACTCAGTGGCACACTGGAGTTCTCAACACTGGAAGGCCGCAGGTGTGTTCTCAGAAGTGCACACCTCAGTCGGTTCTGAGTGGCATCTTTTTGCGGGCTCAGCCAGGTTTGGACTAGACCTTAGACTCGATCTTTCCACTGCTGCTGTCTCTCCTCGGTTGCTTCTTTAATTCCAACTTGTCTACTCCTTGTCTACCCAAGTCTGAATATTCCTGGAAGGAAAGTCGCTTATAATTCATATATGCATAGATTCCATGTTCTCCTTGACAGAACACCACTCTAACTCCCTCTGTGGTTCAGCTACTGTCATAGGACAGGGATGATGGAACAGCTGCTCACGAGATTGAATCCTGTTTTGCCCTGACATAGATAAAGTATAACTCTGAGCAAACATTTCTTTCTGGTCCATGGTGAGTGCTGGAGTGTGGTGCCACACTCTCTAGTCCCAGTGGCCAGAGCAGGATCAAGACTTCTTTCAGTGGCTGCATCCCAAGACATTTTTCTCCGTGGTTTTTCTACAATGAATTTAGATAGATCAGGGACCTATTCCCACAATGCCATTTTTAGAGCCTTCTTTCACTGAAGCCACTTATGGTACTAACACAGCTACTGAATTTGCAGCACAGTGATGATACAGAGCTTGTTAAGGATCGTGGGAGAATGACATTCATCACAGATGTAATCACAGATCTTCGAGATTTCTCAAGAGCCGAGAAAGAGCAAAAATTAAAGGCAGAAGCTGAAGGTCAGTGAGTCAGCTAGTGGCCAAAGCTCTTGGCTTTCTGAGGCAGAGTATGGGATGGAGTTCCAATGGAGAGGGATGAAAGTATGCCCAGACATTCTGGGTAGGAGTCCTAAGCTGGAACGAATATGATCTTGAATAAGAGTAAGAAACTTATGGACATTCACTCCCAAATATCTGTTGCAACCTCAATGTTCAACCAAACTTTGGTGCTCAACATTTGGGACGATAACTAGACACAGAGTACAGAAGTAAAACAATCTTTTGGTCTTTAGATACCTCTGTATCTATGTCACATCTCACTGCTTGACTACAGCGACCTTCCAAATACAATTGTGGCTATTTTAATTTGTTCTAAATTATACACAAAGTCTCATTTCCAAGTATAATCTGAAGATGATTACAGCCTATGTAAGTTGATTTAACAACACCTAGTATAAGATGCCTTTTCCTAGATTGAGACATCATACCTGTCCCTGTTTGATATCCAGTCTCCTCTTCTGATGTCCCTTCTCTTCCCAAGTGAACTGTGATTATAAACCAGGATGTTTATAATCTTTTATGACTGTGGCAGAAGTCTTTCTCCTACTCAGTAATGGGTTTCATCTCTTGCTTTTATCTTTTCCACATGAGCTCCCATGAGGCTCGTGTCTCACCAGGTAGGATTATTTCATGATTAAAGTCACTGATTAATCCGTGCAAAGGGGAGAAGACTTCAAAGTAACAATACTCGTTCTTCCCCAACTAAGTTGCTATTAAATGGTAGGTAGCGTATTTTTGTTCTGTTGACTTCATCTGACCAATGTAGCACATGTCTTTGATGTCACGTCTTAGGATCCGAATGTTTTTTATGCTTCCCAGTTACCCAGTCTGAGGTTCAGAATACATGACAGTTAATTAATTTGTAAGGGAACATTTACTTACTGAACAAGTTTGGATGCATTTGTGTATGCAATCCAGGTTGTCAGTTGGCATAAAAATTCCCTGTTAACATATGGCCTATCCTTTAACCCAAATTTGTGTAAATACTACAAATACAGTCAAGTATCCAGGCCATTCCTGAAACCTTTCAATAGAGAAAAAAAGGAGATCAGGTATCTATCTATCTATCTATCTATCTATCTATCTATCTATCTATCTATCCATCTGTTTGTGTGCATATATATTTATTTTAAATTAAAAAAAAATCTGAACCTATGGACACCAGTCTTCCTTCCTTTTAAAAGGATATGAAATCTCTGTCCAGGCAACATTGGGGCTTAAAATGGAGACCTATGCATTGATTCTTGTAAAAAGAAATGTATAAATGTTGGCCAGCATCTAAATGCTCACAATGCAAATTGTGTTTCTGATATCGGAAGTGACATCACTATGGGAACTGCTCTGTGGGGAGAAGGTTGCCACAATCTTCCTCTGCTCTTACGCACTAAGATCCAGTTTCACTCTGCCTCCATCCTTCTGACTCTGCCATGGGCATTAGGCTTTTCTGTTGGGTGATCTTCTATCTCCTGGGCACAGGTGAGTCATTAGAGCATCAACTCTCTCTCGCTCTCTCTCTCTCTTTCTCTCTCTCTCTCAATGTGTGTGTTTAATGAGTTGTTACTACAACCCTTTTCCTAATTTTATTCACAACTTATATTTTCACAGATCTCACTAACACTGGAGTGTCCCAGTCTCCCATGTACAGAGTTACAAAGAGGGGACAGTATGTAGTTCTTCAGTGTGATCCAATTTCTGGACATACTCATCTTTACTGGTACAGACAGAAGCCAAGGCAAGGCCCAGAGTTTCTAGTGTATTTCCAGGGTGAGGTTCTAATAGACAAATCTGGGATGCCTAGTGATCGGTTCTCTGCAGTGCGGCCTCTAGGCTTCTTCTCCTCACTAATGATCCAGTCTACAGATCACGAGGACTCGGGCATCTACCTCTGTGCCAGCAACTTAGCCACAGCATGGCACAGACACTTGTTTTCTGCTCACAAACCCCTGACTTCATGCTCCTCACAGACTGTAGAGCCTTTATGGAGATTAAAAATCACTTATCCTCTACACAAAGTCTTCGCAGAAAAATTCACAAAACACTGTCCATGTGGGTGAGAGAAGCAGTTGAGGCCTATTGCGCTGTATACACGTTCAGGCGCGGTTGGGTATTGCAGAACAAGGCCATGGTAGCCAGCCATCTCAGAATCTCGAGACGGCTACAACACGCTTGTGTCACATGCCATGTCCATGACTCCTCTCCTGGAGTTGGTGGATCACTGCGGCATTTGCAATGTCTGCAGCCATTACCCATAGTCTGTTTCAGTTGCATCTTCTACTATAGCCACAGTAGACATCTTAGGCTATATAGTATGACATTTGTCTCATTTTTTTTTTAAATTAAAATCTCTGTTACATTTAATGGCAGTTACTTAGTAAAAACAGAAAGCTGGGAATAACACTTCGCTTTATCTGCATATATTAAGCATTTTTTTCTCATTATTTTCATTTCCCACTGCTCTTGCCCTGAAAGTTACCCTTTAGCACATTTCCCTCACATTTCAGTGCAGGCTGAATACACTGAAACAGTGACTAGAAATGGAACTTTTCAATTCCTGCCCAATAATGTCCTTGAGGTTTCTAATAAAGAAGATGGAATTAAAAATGAATGTCCTTATTTTCTTTTGTTAGTTTAATATATCTGGCTATATAGTGTTTGTTAAAAAAATACAATTATATTGTCATCCAGTTTCCTGCCGATCTGTAAGTGAAACCAGTTCATATCTATGAGACTTAAACATACAATGAGAGTTGATTAAAAGTCTCGAGTTTCTGCTATTTCTCAGAGACAGCCCAGTGCTCCAATATTGGAACCATATGTCACCGAGCCAGCAGCCACCATAGGGTGCACATGCAAGCAAGTTAGAGGGATTCTAGTCCCCCTCAAACCCACTTATTAAAAATTAGCATGGCTCTGCATATTAATTTTTTTCTTCATTTTGATAACCTAGGCCAAGGTCTTATTTTAATTATGTCATCCCCTAATATCTCATTTTGTTTTTCCTCATTTTGAGCAAATTTTCTTCTTAGACTTTTTCTCAACCTTGGCCACTTGGTCAGAGTAGCAGTATAAGCTCTAATTTGTGTCTCATTTTGTACAGAACACAGACCTTGGTGGTAAATACTGGACACAGACCTTGGTGGTAAATACTGGACACAGACCTTGGTGGTATACACATTATTTGTGGTATGTGTATACCACATGGACTCTGAAGATCCTTTTCAAAGATTTTATAGTCTGTCATTTTCTGTTTTCTACCACATTCCTGCTGCTTGGAAGAGGAATTCCTCTGGCTCATGCTGCTTACAGCTCCAAGGAATGTTCTTGTGCTTTCATTATATCCAGAAATCATCTCAACCCCTCTGTTTGGTAAAATTTGTGACAGCAAAAGAATCATCAGTGAGCACAGAGCTGTGTAAAGCAGACACTGTCTACATCACATGATGAAGGCCTCTTTGAAGGTTTATTATTAGCAACAAAATTTTAGTGTAGTTGAAAGGAAAGGGCAGATAATTGAAGAACATATGATTAGGAAAGAGGCCTTATCATGGATACTGGAAACTGAAGAAGGGAGATTTCTACTTGATACTGACACTATTCAGCAAAAAAGAGGAGGAGGAGGAGGAGGAGGAGGAGGAGGAGGAGGAGGAGGAGGAGGACAAATGAGTTGGCACATAGCAACTGAGATCCATGTAACCTTGTTTCCCACCATGATGCTACAAATTTCTTTCTCGCCCCTGAAATCAGGAGGTGCTCAGTGTATAAGCTATCCACACACCCTTGGCTAATTATACCCAGCCTTGATTCTCTACCACTGCTTAATTCACACAGCCTACACTTTCTTAAATCCCCATTCCATTTTTTATTCACATATTTGACCTTATCATGAAGATGATCTCATTGTTGATCTGCTTGTTTTGTGTTGTTTGGACAGTTTTGTTTACCTTTAATAAGAAAGATTATTCTTTTCTTAAAATTATTTATTAATTACACTTTATTCACTTTGTATCCCCCCTGTGGTTCCCTCCCTCCTCCCATCCCAATCCCTCCCTTCCTCCACTCTCTGCATGCATGCCCTTCCCCAAGTCCACAGATAGGGGAGGCCTTCTTTTCCTTCCTTCTGATCCTAGTCAATTAGGTCTCATCAGGAGTGGCTGCATTGTCTTCTTCTGTGGCCTGGTGATGCTGCTTCCCCATCAGGGGGAGGTAATTAAAGAGCAGGCCAATCAGTTCATGTCAGAGACAGTCCCTGTTCCTATTACAATAGAACCCACTTGGATACTGAACTGTCATGGGCTACATCTGTGCAGGGGTCTTAGGTTATCTCCATGCATAG